TGCCCTCCCGGTCCCTAAACCCCAGTGCTTTGAAAAACTCTGCGCCATCATCCTGAACTATAGGGTGAAGCCCTTTGCAGAACATTATCAAGTGTTCGGCAGTTTCTTCTTCCTCTCCACACGCACTGCATACTGTGTTTACCCCTTCGTATTTGGCCCGATATGTCTTGGTTCGCAGTACTCCCGTCCTGGCCTCAAACAGTAGAGAAGTACCCCGAGTATCACTGTATAAACTATTCACTGTATCATTCACTGTATCACTGTATAACTACCACTGTATAAACGATTGCGTGCGCCGCCACGCGGCTCCTTCACCGAGGCTTCAGTGGGCTCCGTAGGCACCGCTTGCCGCTCACCACACTTTCCTATTCTAGCCACTGTAGCACGGGAGATCTATAAAAATAGGAGGCGTTGCAATGGCTCGTTGCCGTTGGCACTGCGTCATTCTGTGACTGCGTCTGTTTCCTGTGAGGAAAAGTGTAATCCCACTTCTGACACCAGGTTCTGCTTTACGAGCTCAGCAAAGACACAACCACACGAGACGCTAGCTAGCAAGGGACTGTTTATTGATGGCTGCCGCGCCGCGCGCGCGCCCTCTCTCAAGGTGGCCAGGTGAGGTGGGATCATCCCGATTTATTAAGCGGTGGCCCGCCTGGGATTTCCTTGCCGACTACATCACCTAAAGAAAAAGGAGGATGTACCAGGCGGGCCACCGCTTAATAAATCGGGATGATCCCACCTCACCTGGCCACCTTGAGAGAGGGCGCGCGCGCGGCGCGGCAGCCATCAATAAACAGTCCCTTGCTAGCTAGCGTCTCGTGTGGTTGTGTCTTTGCTGAGCGCGTAAAGTAGAACTTGGTGTCAGAAGTGTAACAGTCGAACCCTGCGCTGAAGATGGACTGCCTACCACCACCCGAGCCACTTGTACTGACAAATACTCCGGCCGACAACTGGAAAAAGTTCCGCCAACGAATCGAACTCTACTTCAAAGCTACCGAGACCAACAAGAAACGGACGCCAGCACAGAAGGCTGCCATCTTTCTACACGTCGCGGGCCCAGAGGCAATTGAAGTGTTTAACACCCTACCTCTATCAGCAGAACAACGAGAGGACTATGACTCGATCGTCAAAGCCTTCGAAGACTACTGCACGCCTCGGTGCAACGAGACATTCGAGAGGTACGTTCTGCGCAGTAGGCAACAACAGGATGGTGAACCTTTCGAACAGTTTTTGCGCGACATTCAGTTGAAAGCACAGACTTGTAATTTTGGCGAACTTAGGGACTCGATGGTGAGGGACCAGATAGTGTGCGGTATCGTCGACAAGAAGCTACGTGCACGCCTGCTTCAGGAGAAGGACTTAACCCTAGAATCAGCTGTAGAAATCTGCAAAGCCGCGGAACTGGCAGCAACGCAGAACCGGGCTCTTGAAAGCGAAGCGAAAGTGCAGAGAGTCGAAAAAATTGCAAACGCTGCCGGACAGTCTCGTACGAGCGGACAACGTCGACGCTGTGGCTACTGTGGCAAGATTCACGGACCAAGACGCTGCCCAGCGTTTGGAAAAACGTGCACGCTGTGCAACAAAAGAAACCATTTTGCAGCTTGCTGCAGGAGTAGACGCGGCGTTCATGAGTTAGGCGTCGCTGCAACAGAAGATGCACTGGAGGAGTCCTCGGACGCTACCGATGAAGACATTCAAGTTCTCACGGTACAAATCAGAAACGTGTCCAAAAATCAGGATTGGACGGTGGCAGGGGACCTTGCCGGGCACCCGACAGAACTGAAAGTGGATACAGGAGCGCAAGCGAACATATTGCCGTACTCGTACTTTCGCAGGATGCGTTTGCCGACCATGGTGCGGCCATCGACCACAGTACTTACTAACTACGAAGGAAGCAAAATACATCATTTGGGCGTTATCAGTCTGCCACTACGTCTAGGAGAGCAGCAAGAGAATATCAGTTTTTTTGTGGTCAAGAGAGGCAAGCAAGTCCTACTCGGATTGAATGCAGCAGAACGTTTCGGGCTGATTTCCCGCGTTCACGATGTATCTTCAAGAAGTGACGTTAGCACCGACTGGGTCACCGAGTTCCCGGAGTTATTCCACGGTCTGGGCTGCATCCGTAGACCATATTCGCTGGCAATGAAGGATGATGCGCGCCCCACGATCATGCCGCCGAGGAAAGTGCCACACGCACTGCGAGCGCCACTTAAGCAGGAGTTGGCCCGGATGGTCTCGCAGGGCATCATATGCAAAATGGAAGAGCCGTCAGACTGGGTGAGTCCACTTGTTCTTATTATGAAGAAGAATGGCCGCATGCGAATATGCCTAGACCCGCGGTACATTAATCGAAGCCTTAAACGCGAGCATTATCAGCTACCCTCACGTGAAGAAATAGAAGCAGAGCTGGCAGGAGCGGTGATGTTCACCAAGCTTGATGCCAATAGCGGGTTTCACCAGATCCCCTTAGACGAAGACACTTCAAAGATCTGCACCTTTAGCACGCCGTTCGGAAGATACCGATTTTTTGCGCCTGCCATTTGGTATCGCGTCCGCCCCCGAAGTATTTCAGAAGGCAATGACGGAAGTGTTTGAAAACCTGCCGGGCACACGCGTATATGTCGATGATATTTTAATTTGGGGTGCATCAAAAGAGCAGCATGATCAACGCCTGCGTGCAGCACTGATGGCAGCGAGAAAGGCTGGCCTGACACTGAACAAAGAAAAGTGTCTGTTCGCGAAGGCCGAAGTTAAATTCCTGGGAGATTGTATCAGCAAAGAAGGAATAAAACCCGATGCTAGTCTCATTGAATGCGTTGCCAACATGCAAAAGCCGTCGAGTAAACAGGAAGTTCAAAGGTTTTTAGGTATTATGAATTACTTTGGCAAATTCATACCTAATCTCTCAAAAAGAACTGACGCCCTTAGGTCATTGATAAAGAATGATGTTGAATTCATATGGGAAGTTCACCATGACAAAGAATGGAAAGATCTTATTAAGGCTTTGACATCGGCTCCAGTGATCGCAGTTTTTGACCCATTGAAGCAAACGAAACTCTCAGCTGATGCATCAAGCTTTGCAGTAGGTGCTGCTCTTCTTCAACTCCATGACCAAGATTGGCGCCCAGTGGGTTATGCTTCAAGGGTGCTCTCAAAGGCTGAAACAAAATATGCCCAAATTGAAAAGGAAGCGCTGGCCGTGACGTTTGCTTGTGAGCGTTTCCGGGAGTTCGTACTGGGGTTATCAGTGACAGTCGAAACAGACCACCGACCTTTGCTTGCTATTTCACAAAAGAACCTGAGTGAAATGCCGCCACGATTGCAGCGCTATTTCTTGAGGCTAATGCCTTTTGATATCAAATTGCAATATGTTCCTGGGAAGCATCTGCTAGTGGCGGACACACTGTCCCGAATTCCAGGAACCCAACCGAGTGACGGAGAAAGCGAACAAGACGTATGCATCCATGCGACTCGCGTGCTAGCCAGCATCGTAAGTGAGAACACGAAGACTGAACTGACCTCTGCAATCCTGGCGGACCCATACCTCAAGCAAGTGGTGGAGGCACTCCAGGAAGGACGACCAGTCTCAGGCGAACTAGCTCCATGTTTGTCAGAACTGTCATATGTTGATGGAGTGCTTTTGCGGGGCAGCAGGGTGGTAATCCCAAAGAGTCTGAGGCGATCCATGCTGCAACGTCTTCATGAAGGCCATTTGGGAATGAGCAAGTGCAAAGCCAGAGCACGCCTTCTGATGTACTGGCCTGGGATGAATGCTGACATCAAGTCACTCATTAGCAAGTGTGCCACATGTCAGCACTTTGCCTACCGGCAACCTTCAGAGCCACTGTTATCGAGGGAAATCCCAACGCGGCCGTGGCAGCGAATTGGTGTCGACCTATTTGACCATGGGGGCAAGCGTTACCTGGTTGCGTACTGTGCCTACTCCAACTACCCAGAAGTGGAACAGTTGCCTCAGTCAACAAGTCAGGTCGTAGTGGACACACTAGGGACCATGTTTGCTCGCCACGGTATACCCATTGAAGTCTGTACCGATGGAGGACCACAGTTCACATCGCGAGAGTTTAGACAGTTTGCAGTAAAATACGATTTTACTCATGCCATATCCAGTCCACACTTCCCCAGGGCCAATGGTCTAGCTGAGAAAGGGGTACAGGTCGTAAAGCGCCTCTTGAAGAAAAGTGAGTACGCTGGCGAGGAGTTTTGGGTTGCACTGCTCAATTATCGAATCTCGCCCCTGATAGACGGACGCACACCAAGTCAGCTCCTTATGGGACGGATGCTTCGGGGACGACTTCCAGACTTCTCATCGGCTTCGACATCGTCAGTGCGGAAACATCCACAGGATCACGGCAAAGGCATACCTCTCACACCTCTCTCCGAAGGGGACGTCGTCAGAATAAGAAACGACAAGGGGTGGTTTCCGAAAGCCCGAGTAGAGAAACTTGCTGGCCCTAGATCTTACATAGTCTGTACAGATGAAGGCCGGCGTTATCGAAGGAATCGTCAGCATCTAAAAAGGACGCCCGAACACTTAGACCCACTGGATGACAAGGATGTCGCACCGATAATCCCGTCGCCTATACAGCATAGACAACATTCAACATCAGATACAGCGCCCGATTTGACAACAGCATCCGCATCACGAAAGGAACGACATCCGTCACAACAGGCGCCTGCATCGGATGCTCTACTGAACCAGTCAGCTGCACGTGCACCACCCATTGCAAGTCAACCATCAAGGGACCCCGACGTGGTCCCGTCCCAGCATAAGGTCACTTGCCAGGCACAAGAAGCAGCCGACTCGAGTCTCAGAAGATCAACTAGGCCACGTAGAGCACCGACGCGCTTTGCCGACTACATCACCTAAAGAAAAAGGAGGATGTACCAGGCGGGCCACCGCTTAATAAATCGGGATGATCCCACCTCACCTGGCCACCTTGAGAGAGGGCGCGCGCGCGGCGCGGCAGCCATCAATAAACAGTCCCTTGCTAGCTAGCGTCTCGTGTGGTTGTGTCTTTGCTGAGCGCGTAAAGTAGAACAATGGCGACTTCCGCTTTTGTCGTTAAACCAGCGCGAAGTTCAAGCTACGGGTTTATTTGCGGCAAGCACTCTTCCTCGCGATAAATCTACTCTTGAGTGACGGCAGCGATGAACACTAATGTTCTCAGCTTCATAGTGCACCTCGTGTCAAGGACGGGTAAGCTGTCAACCTCTAACTAATCTCCGGGGGAACGCGCTTTTGCACCATTAATTTCGTGGCAGTGATGGTAATACCGCTCTGTGTTAATGTACCACAATTTGAAAAACATTCTCGCTGCGCAAGTTGCTAGGTTTGTACAGCAACCTGATGAGATTATTTAAAAGCTAATACAAATCTTGACAATAAAAGTAAGACATTCATTATTTACCGTACTTCTGCTGTACGTGTTGCGTATTTCTCTTGTTGCTATACGTGTACCCATGATGTCCATTTATTGTGTGTGTAATTTAAACACGTTGCTGGTTTAAGGATCACGTGTAGCACTTCTGTTTTGCGCGATCTGCAGCGGGAGCATTTCAACCAGGTAAAATCGGCTGCGCTGACATTGAGTGACGGACGAGTCAGCTGCTCAGTGCTGCATAACAAATTAGGGGGATACGTCACATTTGGCCCACTTTTCAAATTGTTGTGCTATTTGAATTAATGAACCACCGAAAAAGAAATTGCAGATGAGCGTCGGCGGGGGGGGGGGGGGGGGGGTAAATGTTTTTCACTTTCGCCCAGGAATGAACTCTTCATTGGTTAGCCAGCAGTCATGCCTCCGGCACTTGACATGCTGGCAATAAAATAAAAAAAGATGCAATTACTAAATATCCTAATTTCGGTGCTACTGTGTAAAAACATCATTCTTTTTGTTTCTTTCATATTTTTAGTCTTAGTATAGTATGTACTAGTCTGTAGACACAAGATGACAGGAAATAAACGATGAAGAGCAATCATTGGTTCACTAACTCAGTCAAATGATGGCTCAAAAGAAATCAAGACAATGGGTGCATTAAAAATCTACCAAAATACAGACAAAAATGAGCTATTATTAACATGGATTATACGAGGCAGTACCAATTTTATTATTTTTTTAAAAATCAGAAGTGTCATGTTATGAAACCTAAAAGCACCGAAGTTAAGACGAAGACAAGCTTAAAGGGATGAAACATTTGCGAACACGGGTTGTTACTAGGGCCATCGTCTCAACATGCACACTTCTTCAAGGCTGCAACTGCCGCCCTATCTGAATTGTGTAGGGCAGATTTATCAAGATGAAGGGAACCCACATACACTGGTGCTAACAATCAACAAATCACCACAAAACATTTCACATATGTTGTACCAATAAGGCCAAAATTCATCCCTTGCCCCTATAAATTGCTGCGCCATTGCTTGCAGTTATTTGCCATGATTGCTTGATGCCTATTTAATGAAATGTTAACAGGTTGTTTTGTTTGTTCAGTAGGGTTGAGAGCTGGGCTAGTTGGTGAGATACCATTTTAACAGGTGGTGTTGTAGTGCAACTTCGACGGCGACTCGGAGGACAAGAAAAGCTAGTGTCGTGTTTTCTTGTACTCTGTGTCCCTATCGAAGTTGTGCTACTGCACCATGTTAAAATGTTGTCCTGTTTGTGACAATGTGTGTATTTAATCATGTTGATAATGTTTAAACTAGTACAGGTAAAACTAGATTTTATACTATGCATAAATCACTTCTAGTGCTTTTAATTCTAACATAATCTTGAAGGTTTTTGCAGGTCTTATAATCTTGGATGACAACTAGGTATTATGTGTACAAAAAAAATGCAGGTTTACTTTTTCATGCACTAACAGGTCGGGGAATGTTTTCCAAAGCGGCTCGTTGCTTGTTAATGTTGGGTAATACTTGGGAAGGATATTATGTAAGTTTGAAAGTGCGTTTAAGTGTTTGATTCCTAAGGCTAGCGGCTGGTTAGGCTATGCTGTGGGACATGTTCAGCTAGTGATCATTTCCTAATTTTCGAGCTTCATTTTGGATTTTGTTCAGAGTGTTGTGCAGGTAATTCCGCCAAATGTCTCCTTTAGCTTGCTTGATTAGTGGGCATAGTGATCGTTGCCGCTACAGACGCTTCTTAAACGCTTTGCCTGTCTGACGAATAATTCTTTTTTGCCGTGTCATAGATGATGGCTTGTGTGGTCTATGTATTATAGTTGGCTATTCATTGACGTTATGTAGAGCGTAACCTTTGATTTCTCTGTAAAAGCAAGAACTCCAAGACAGCCCCATTAAGATGTGCATCACAAGAATTCACCCCTGAAGATTAAATTTGACCAGACATGTTAGCAGCAAGAACAACATTGTAAACCAAACCAAGATCTTTTTTTTTTTTTCTTTTTGTCTGGTTCGACTGGGGCTGGAGTCCGCTATTCATACACACCTTTCCCCCTCAAAGTTTCTTTTGGCTCTGCCTTGTTCATTTTTCTTTTCAGATTGACATTGCCTGCTATATGTTTATGGTGTAGGCAGAGCATTTATCTTTTTTTATACCTCAGAATAAAAAAAGTTTATATAGATGCCATCATATCCAGAAAGTTCATTTTGCTGAAACGTTGATGCATGGTAAATTTACTACTAGGGTGATACTTCTTACAATTGCCAATGAGTGTAATTGTCATGAATGCATGTCAGAAATAAGGCTAGCGGCAGAGCTATTGAATCTATTCTTCGAAATGATTCTATTTTGAATAATATCAGTGTTACCTCAAGGCAACTTTTATCCACTGAAAGATGAAAAAAAGAACATTTAAACAAAAACATACATGTGTTAGTCTCTGTTTATGATAGAGTTGTAAAGAACAAGTGGAATAAATGTCATGTTTTGCCACTATTGACCCCATGTGGTTGAAGCTGTGGAAGGAAATTCTGGAGGGATTTATAGGCCTCTGCTGCTGTAGTCTCGAGCAGTTTGGTTCTCTTCACTGCAGCAATGCGACGTGGGTGAAATCACACTATACAAACTCCGTACTCCCAACACCAGTTTGCTGTGCAGCTTTGTACTTGACTCACAAGCTTCTTGTGTGTATTTTACAAAAGCATTACAAGGATACTGAAGAGAAACAGTGACCTTGTTTAGATTGACAAACTGCACTCTGATAACTCTTATGCTAATGCCATATGTTTCACTATCCCAAGTTCATTATTAGCGAAGAAAATTAAGGTTGAAGTTTCACTATTGAAAGTTGTGCCGAAATATTCATGCGTGACGTCAAAAGTTTTTAAATGTATTTTTCGTAATTTTGCGATTGGCTCGGTGATATTTCCTGAAACTTTGTATGTTAGGTTTATGACACCCACAGATGACAATGCCCTTCATTTTTATCGGTTATAAGCTATGTAGAACCCAGTAAATGCCATCAAAATAATGATGTCATGGTGTTTGGTGAGACATTTTCTTTGCGTGGTTTCGCACTTGCCAATCGTTCTGTCATGGTAAGAGTGGTGCTGTGAAATTATACTTCAATAGTATGCAAAAAATTATTTCGATTTTTAGTGTTTCTTCAACACCCAAAGAAAAAAAACTAACAAGAATGATGTAGAGTAGCTGACCAGCTCATTCACCTGGCCCAAAGAGAAATGGAAGTCAGTGTAGTTGTAATGTTAGGTGTATCACATCTCAATCCGTATAATTCTAGGAGGATGGAGTATAGGAAGTCTGACACAGAGGACAATTTATTGCAACAGACACACATTACATGTACATTTAAACGAGCCTGTGCACTGCTTTTCTCAAACAAGCAAAAAAAATATGCAGTCTCACAAGTCTGCAGCACTGTGGTACCTTGTGAGACGACGTTCATACGCCCGAGCAGAGCACTATAAAAATGTCTTTAAACAATTTAACTGTTGTGTGCTTCGTTAAAAAAGGTTTGCAGTCAAGATAATTGGGTCATTAACCACTCATTGAAACAAAAAAAATGACACGTCCAGTTTTTGTGTCAGTACTCTCTTACCATTATTTAATAACTGAATTGAAACAACCAAAACAACCGCTAAACAAAGCACATCGCCTTTTTAAGGCACCTATTAGCAAACAAAATGAATTGTGGCCGTTGGATAGACGCTGATAAAAACAGAAGCGGGCATGCTTTCTTCAGCTGTAGGTTGATGGTGCTGCAGCCAGTCACAGCTGAGAGCAGGTTACATGCTCATGTTTTCCCTTTCATAAAGGACAACAGTGTATAGCCATGCTGACTATGACTGGTAACGTGAGAAGTGTGTACTCACAAGCTCAAAGGCTACACATGGATGAAGATTGCCCTCATTTACACAACTTGTTTGATGGACATGAGAGTTTCATCATGGTGAACTAAAACTTGAAACAGTGCAAACGTATTTGGTATACTGCGTTTCTTCTCTTTGCGCAGGGGTACAAGCTGTCCGGGTTCTTAGTACTTCAAAGTGAGAGATGCACACTGGCCCAAGCACTACCTCCAACTTCATGCTACTGTGAAATCCCGAGAAATCACCCCCTCGACGCTGAAAGATGATCTGGAAGGGGCCCTTGCTTGGTCTCGGACACTAATATAGAAGTTCCTCAAAGAAAAATGCACACCTGTGTTTCTAATGAAATGCTGCATTGAATACACATGCATTTACTATTTTACAGACCCGAGGAGAATCCTTGTGTGAAATTTCAGGTATTGTGACAAGGCGGGAAAGATGTGCTACAAATGTTCAATTTGTGACAACTCAGAATGCAGCCTCGAGGCATCACACTGTAAAAGTGTTGAAAAAATCTTGCGCATATATAAGGACTCTCAGAACTTTGGTTCCAAAGAACTGCTGCTGCAGACATTCGTAGTGAAGAACAGGTTCAAAAATCATTGCGGGAGGGGAGGAGGCACTTGCTCATTCATTGGCACATATTCGAGATCTCCTGAATAGTAAAAAGGGGCGCTTGCTCTGTATTTTACAGTGCCCACTCGCGATTGAAAATGGAATGGAGGCACTAGCATGTGCTTTTTTCATAGCATTGCCAGGGCTGCACAAGAGGCCCATTGAATGTGACTGCCCGTACAATCAAGCAACGCTTGCCACCAAATCAGCTGCTCTATCTGCGTGGAAACAGCCAAGGAATATATTATGCTAGGTAGAGACTTCGTGTGGTGCATGCTGCGCTGATGTCGGTCGCTTTTTTTTTCACGTATGTTTTGAGTCATTTTTTACCTTGTATATTACTTTTGTTGTTGTGTGCTAATGTACTGTATTGTCCCTGAAAATGATGCAGACTGTTTTAAGGAATCAATCGACCAATTTTTCAAAAACTTGACCTCCCAACTTGAACCAATCGCCTATACTTCAAATCGCGAGTGAACGAATATGGTTTCACATCTATTTTCACACTTTGTTTTAATGCAATACCCAAATTCCCGTGATTGCCTTCACAATTTTAAACGCCTCCCTGACACGCTGATTGTGCATGCAGCGGTCGCGGACAAGTTTGTATGTACAGTACCTATCTCTGTTTGCAGGTACGTGCTTCGGGTGTAACTTCATTACTTACCCCTAATGAAGTTACACCTGAAAATGCAAGCAGCATCGCTTCTTCAAGTCATTTTTGTTAATCTGTGCCAGCCAAACATGCTGGTGCCTTTCGGAAAATCGCCGTGTGCGTTCTCAATTTTAGGTAATAACTTTCGGCAAAGAGAACACCCTGACGCTCTGCTCGCTCTTCGTGGAGTGCTATATCAACTTGCCTCACCAGTGGCTGATAATTTCTCCAACTTGCATCGTTAGGCAAAACTGAACGGGCGCATGCACGAGGAAACAACACGGCAGCGGTCGGCCACGGAGTCAGTAGGTACCAAGGCATGTCGGTACCGCATTTCGGGAGTGACGAATCAGCGCTGCGTGATGCACGTGCTTACTATGTATAAGAGTTAATGGAAAGTATCTTAGTAACCTGTGATTCGCTAATGACATTGCCTCAATGAGTAACTTAGGAGATGAATTACAGCTCACGATTACAGAACTGAACATGGAAAGCAGAAAAGTGGGTCTGAAAATGAATGTGCACAAAACTAAAGTAATGTGCTACAGTCTCGGCAGAAAACAGCACTTTGCGATAGGTGAAGAGATGCTGGAAGTTGTAAAAAAATATGTCTACTTAGGACAGGTAGTAACCGCGAAGCCGAACCGTGAGAGCAAAGTTACTAGAAGAATAAAGATGGGGTTGATCACATTCAGCAAGCATTCTCTAATCAAGAATGGTAATCTGCCACTAACCCTCAAGAGGAATGTATATAACAACTGTATCTTGCCAGTATTTACCTACGAAGCAGAAACCTAAAGGCTTAGAAAGAGGTTTGAGCTTAAATTGAGGATGACCCAGTGAGCGAAGGAAAGGAAAATGATAGGTGTACCTTTAAAAGACAACAAGAGAGCAGAGTAGGTCAGCGAACAAACCAGGGTCCAGGATATCATAGTTGTAATCAAGAAGAAGAAATGGACATGGGCCGGGCACATTGCACATAGGCAGGATAATCGCTGGTCATTAAGGGTAACTGACTGGATTCCCAGAGAAGGCAAACGTACAAAGGGGAGACAGAAAGTTAGGTGGGTCACTGAGATTAAAAAGTTTGCAGGTGTAACATGGCTACGAAAAGTACAAGACTGGGTTGCTAGGCAGATCATGGGAGATGCATCAGGCTGATGATGCTGATACCTTCAATGTATGAGGAGGTTTAGATTTAGGTGTTAAGCAAAAAGTGAGCATGCCAAAGTTGCGCTGATGGCAAAGCACTTGCTTTTTATGCCTATCGCAGTTTACAGGTGACCAATTAACACACCAATCATACAATATATGTATAATGCTGCGGCTCATGTCAGCAGAAACCTAATAACAAAATTTGCCGAAAGCGTGAGCAATAAGCTTGTTTGCAAGACGGAACATGTACGTGGGCTTCTTAGCAGACGCTTTATCTTTTCTAGAGACTTGCCTAAGTAGGATGCACCGTTTTTGCATAATTTTGATGCAATTAGTAAACTTCTTTTTTCTTGCATTGTCATGTAAGCAGCAGCCAAAGAAGTAGAGGCCACAAAAGTGTACAGAGCTGAACGGTTTAACTTGGTATAAGCATTCACATGTGATAACCGACAGGAGATACCACAGTCACAGCTTTTTTTTTCTCTATGCTACTTGGACTACCTGTGTGAGTAGTGGAAATAATGCGATATTCATACCGCCGGTGTCACACAGACACTTGTGATCGCGGTCAGGGCATCTGCGCCACACTCGATGCTGTACAGCGCAGCAGCGACAAAGTTGTTGCGCGCGATCAAAATTTCTCGAGGAAAACCGGTATTAGTCACTGCTACACGGTCCGGATCAAATACAGTGTAGCGCGTCCACATGCAGCAAGTACCCATGTGACAGTGTGCAGTAAAGCGCGTCAGAGCGCACCGCGCATTTAGAACTAACGTCCAGACAGAACAGTCAGCACTCACACATCACCATATTTGCGAGGAATAATATCGCAATTATACAAACCGCCGCACAACACCAAAATAGAGGAAGCGCTGACACATACATAACACAGCCAGCGGCGCCTTTACATCTAATAAGATTAAATGACACTCCCTGGTTTGGTGTATTTGTGGACGGGAGCAAAGGCCAAAGAGGAAAACAAGGAAATGGTCGAGTGTATATCAAAAGACGTTGAAGAATTAGGAGGAGGGTGCTAGATAATTATACTAGGAGATATGAATGCGCACATAGAAGATATAGATAGGTATACTGACTCAACAGGCAAAATTATCATAGATATGTGTGAAAGGCATGATTTCGTCATTTGAAACAGTACTGAGAAGTGTGAAGGGCAAATAACATGGGAGGTAGGAAGGCTGCAGTCGACGATAGATTACGCACTGATGTCACATAGGGTGTGTGATAAGCTCAGGGAAATGCACATAGATGAAGGTGGCTCCAGAAGTCTGGGTAGTGATCACAAACGTATCAAGCTAAGTTTTGGAAGAGCAGTGAAAGTGGGAAGGAGACAAGATGAGCAACTGCAGGAAAATTTTCATTCAGAAAGGCAAATACCAATTGCTACTAAACAAATTGAGAAAGTAATCACTCAGGATAATAAAACAGTGTGGACATATGCAAATATAATTAGACTGTTTGAGCTAGAGTTTGCTAAGGCACGTGACAAGTCGCCCCGGAAAAGAAGACACAAGCCCAAGAGTTGGTGGGATGAGGAAGTTAAGACAGCCATAGCAAAACGTCTGGAAGCGTCTAGGGAACACAAACATGCTAAGCAGCAGGGTGAATCGACAGACGATGTTAAAAGAAAATGGGACGTCTTTCTAAGCTCTAGAAGGGAAGCATCCCTCCTGATCAATGAAAAGATTAGAAGAAAGGGTTCTCAGTGGCTGGCAGAAGTACATAAATAGGACAGAAAGGGAGCTGCGAAATTTTGCAACCATCTAAACTTCCTAAGAAAGGAAACAAGCCTAGAGCAGAGGTTTATAACTACAGCTCAAGGTGCTAGGCTAGAAGGGGACGAAGCTATTGAATATATAAGGACAAGGGTGACAGAAAATTTTAAACAAAAAAGTGCCTTATGCGCCAGAATAGACAAGGATGGATCAAGTGGTGCAATGGCTCCATTTTCACAACGAGAGTGGGAAAGGGCTCTGAAGAGGGTTCCAAGTAGTACATCAACAGGCCCAGGTGGCATTTGAATTATGCTGATAAAGACATTGGGTTCGAAGTCTAAACAGTCTTTGAGAGAGGCAGTAAGCAGAACAATAATCCATGGTGAAGTCTCCGATGGATGGAAACTTAGCAGAATGAGCATGACCTCTAAAGGAAAAGGGGACAAAGCTGACATAAGCAACTACCGTCCTATAACAGTGACTTCAGTGGTCTACAGGCTGGCGATGCAGATTATAAAGAAAACACTGCAGGCATGGATAGAGGATGAGGGGTTGCTGGGGGAACTGCAGAACGGGTTTCGGAAACACAGGTGGTTGGAAGACAATCTGTTCTCACTGACGCAGTGCATCGAAATAGCAGAAAAGGAACTCGAGCCCCTGTGGCAAGCATTTTTGGTTATCAAGGGAGCATACGATAGCGTGGTTCAAGAGGACTTGTGGGGAATACTGGATAGACTAGATGTGGAAGATGGAGTCACTAATCTTTTAAAGAAGATCTATAAAAGTAACAAGGTAGTTATAAAGTTGGAAAAACAGGTATCCAAGTCCACAGAGGTGAAACGGGGGCTTAGGCAGGGGTGTCCTCTGTCACCCTTGTTATTCATGATGTACCTACAAGGATTAGAGGCCAAATTTGAGGGAAGTGGACTTTGCTTCAACCTCTCTTTCATCAAATAAGGAAAACTCATGGGTCAGGCACTACCAGCATTAATGTACACAGATGATATAGTGCTAAAGGCCAACAACAAGAGATATTTGCAGAGATTGATGTACATATGCGGTATTAAGGGAGATAGGTTAGGTTTCAGATTCAGTAAAGAAAAATCAGCAGTCATGATTTTTAATGATAATGAAGGTTGTGAGCATAGGATACAGGAGGTCACGCTAGAGATAACAGATAAATACAAATATCTGGGTGTATGGATAAGCAATGGGACCGAGTACCTAA